CAATGTGTTCTTGAAGATAATTTGATAGTGGTTACACAGGCAATAAAACGAATTTAATGGACACTTTATCTCAGTTAAATAAAAGAAATTGTTCTTCTCGAAACAGGCGAAAAAAGAATGACGTGCTTCGTTTATTAGAAAAAAAAAAAAGAATTGTCGTGTCCACGAAAAAAAGAGAAAAACGAAAACAAACGGAATGCCCTTCTTTGTTGAAGAAAGAAACGAACAAAACAATGTCCTTAACTTAAAAAGAAGTAGAGAGAAAAAAATGAGTCAACGGATTGAAACGAAGAGAAATGAAAGAATGAAGAATGACCCTCAATCGCTTGTTATGTAAGAATCTCTTTTCATGCTTTATCTTTTGTTCTCTGCTATTTTACTACAATACTTTACCTCATGTCTATATCTGACGTATTTGAAAAATAAACTAAAAGAAAGAAGCATGAATAGCAAGCAAACTACTATAGGGCCAAAGACTATCAATGATGCACATCCACACTCACATTCATATCCCAGCATGAGACTGGTCAGTAAAAATTGATAATGAACCACCAATACGTGTTAAATCATTAATATTAATAAAAGTGACACATTAATATGTCGAAGAGCAGGCAATACATTGGACGATGTTATTAATTCGGAAACTGTTCTGAAGACATCCAAAAACAATGCCAATATCTAAACAATAATACAAAAAGTATTTCTAAATAACATGCAGTTAAAACAAAATATGATACCAATGGAAAAATTTACAGAGTCGTTGTCTCGTGGACTACTCGATGCTATGAAATGTACTTTGTCAGAACTATTGATTATATATCATTACACAGTACCTAACCATAGATTTCTAACACTTTGAAAATACAAGATAATGATGGCTTTCATATGGAACGAGTAGATGATGTTTACATAGTTGTCTGAACAACTATAAAGACAAAATTCAAGACGCGGTACTGTATACTGTTGCTTGCTTTAGATATGATTCAATTGTTTCGACTTGATTGGTCATTAGATAATAAACTGCATCAGTAACAATAAGTAAATGTAAAAAGTCTTTTGTGACCAATTATTTCATCAAATCTCAGCTAACTTTTGCCTGAGAAGAAGGAAAAAAGAAATCCCAAGGTTATAAACATTCACATTTTACTATGCAACAAATCAAATTTAATAGAACGCAAAGTTAAACTGCTGTTGTAATCATTAACCTTTCACAATTTGTTTATTATTTTGTATTTGTTTGTCCAAACAAGTAATTGCAAAAGCATCAGAAACCTACGACACATAACTCTTATAAACTCATTTAAACGAAAAAAACTCTAATCATACCATATATTCAACATACATTTCACGATCTAAAACATCACAAAATTTTCCATTTACGTCGCCCAAAATTTTTTCAAGTCTTCTTATGTTACCGATAGAACTCATCTACTGAATTCTTGATCATCTTAGTGATTTCAATCTTCTATGCTCGACACGAAATATTTGTACACGTATGAATGCAGTTGTCGACAGCTACCATCGATATCAGATAAAACAATATTGCATCTGAAAACTTGACTTTCATCATTTTCAACACATTATTTGTTTATGTAAAATATTGATTTTATTAAAAACTACTTATGCTTCTAGTTCTAGTCAAAAACTAGTGATTGGCCACTAACAATAGTTGAAGTTAATCTAAAACGGCACTAGTAATAAGCCAATATCCTCACGAAAATGCGTATCATTCTTTGAGATGTCAACGAATTGAAAAATTCCGAATTGATCATAATGAAAATTATAAGAATTATCGTACAACAGATACAGATCGATATATGAGCAATTTCTTTCAATGCTGTATCAGCTAAAACAACATATGAATATCTAAGAAAATTTAAGAAAGAAACGAAGGAGTTAAACAATATACTGAGCGTGACAGCGTATACAGTTCTTCCCATCGAGGAGAAACTTTCTTTTTTCTACACCAAACAACAACTAGCATTAAGACTTATTGTTCCAGAATTTTTTCGCTCATGCTAAACTTCGCCCTTCTTTACCAATCTCCGAAAATCACATTATGAATTCCACAGTTATTTCCAAATAATTTACGTGCACTAAAAAAACATTTATATACTTGCGCATATCTTCCAGTGTTTCGTTGCAAAAAAAAAGAACCATTTCGACGTCGATGAACTAAATCAAAGGTTTTCCAATTGAACCAGCAACTAATGATTATAGGTCCCATTGTGATACCTCTTCTCCAATTCTTTTATCGATTAAACTGTCTTCTTTCCGCTCATAGACAATAACCACACTGGACTCTTCTGGCGATGAAATGAAGGGTCAAGTAGCACAATATGTTAGCAAATCTCTCGAACAAAATAAAGTGATATTTCCACCCTCTCTATCTGTCATGCAATGCCTGCTTAAAACAGACGCTGATTACACTCGATCACAGTAGGAATGAAATCAATGATCAAAGACAACAACATCCTGCTCATGCTGTGGAACAAAAGCGAATACTATTTAATTTTTTTTGTTGATATGGACTACTTTTAAACTGACTCTTGTAGTATTGGGCATGTGGAGTGGATGTACGTGCGAGTGCTGATCAGTTTTTCTGACTCTTCCTAACCGTGCTTTGGAGTGATATTGTACGAGAATATCAAAGATACTATTTGGTGAGCTATATTGTCTTTTGATCTTTAATATTTTTTGGTTTTTCGTTGTTTTCATGTAAACGATAAATACTTTGTTTGCTTCTCGTCGTCAATCAACAGTGCGTTAGTAGAATTTGCAATAAATAATGCTGCAGTGAGGGGTGTTTTGAGTGAGCTTGAATTCAAATGATGAGCGAAGGTTTCTCTTGTGTTTGAAACCTTTCTCAGCTCGGAACGAATTAAGCGAAGCGATGCGGATGCATTCATAGTGGACATTCAATATAATATCTTAGATATTAGTATCGTTTGGACTTGTAAAGCAGTAAGTTATACCGAAAGCGTTGATCATTCAGTTGAGGACAAATCAAAGAAAACATGATGAGATTGACTATCACAGTGTTAGTATTCGAATATGTTCTTCTGCTCTTCAACAAAAATAATGTAAATAGTTTTCAATTCGATAACGTTTGTCAAAGTTCGAACAATTTATGTGCATATAGTTCAAAATAGATCTATACCCCAAATCCATGTTCAAAGTTATCCAAAGTTTATTTTTTGTTTCTAAATGTTAGGAACTTTATAAGATTTCTAACGTTAGATACTAGATTTTCATCAATTACTCACACTTCAAAGCGATGAAAATTAAATATATGTTGATTTTTTTTTCTATTAAATTATTTCACATGAGTTAGTATCAAGTACTATATTATTGTAGATAGTCAGGAATCGCTGACAATATTTTAAAACTTGTTTACATTGGTTAAAGTCATGATAATTGAAGCTACATGTTATTTCAATGTGATTCCTGGACAGAATGATTCGATAGATTCTCAACATTTGCTTAAATTATGCCAACTCTTATTGATGATTGTACATTTTGCAATATGTGCTACCGATTTCGGCTAATTCTCGAGCTAAACCAAAACTAAATGATGGTAATCAATCTCATTAAAGTATTTGAAAATGTCAAAAAAAAAAAAAATTGAAGATCCTTTTCATGTTAACCAATAAATCAATCAGCACGATTCATACAATATAAAGCGTTCATTTGTTTCAAGAATGTGTTCAAAATAATTCAACGATCGTGTATATTCGCTGATATCAGTAAGAATGATACCGAACAGTACACCCGCATATGAGTAAGCCACGCGTTTGCGAATATATTTTTCATGAGAATGACTCAGCTGGCCTCTCTTGCTTAATAGACTCATTTAAATATTAATTGGAGTGTTGCCCTGACTGTTCATCATAACCAGACACATACACTCACATCTTCAAATGTAGTATGAATTTCAAAGTAGGAAACGATAATTTTCTTTATTTAACTGGAAAAAATACGGATGAATATGATTCAAAAAAAAATTCATTATTATCAGATCAATGGAATAGTTCTTTCGAACGTGAAAAATTATTTCTCTTCATCATGTCATAGTACTGACATGACTTATAACTACAATAGTTATCTCTTACTAATTCATAGACAAACAACACACTTCATGTGTCTTGAAGTCTTTAACAATCACGAGATTTTTTGTTGGTTTAAAATCTGTTATTTTCTGAAAAATTCATTATATCTATGTTTATATATATAGTATCAAAACTTTTAGAAATATGTATAGTATGCAAAAAAGCATTATCAAATAAACTTATGTTGTCTATAAATGTGTTAACAATAAGTATAAACCGAAAAGACAGTAATTCAACTAAAGGGAACTTTTATTAATTCGAAATTAGACTAAAATTAATCTTTTAATTTTCGTTTTTACCAAAGAAATCTTTTAGTTTTACTTCTAGAATTAATAAAAAAATTTATTGTCATAGAACTTAAAATTATGTCTTACACATCTTTTCTAACTTCAAAGTATCCTACTGCTATATTGCAACTCATTTGTTATTGATATTATAGTTCTCATAGATATGCTTGCTCGATTAAAATTCATCATCTCATGAATTGTAAAATTCACTTTTCCAACTTTCTTCAAATTCTGAAGTTTAATATTTCTTCTTCTTTAATTATTTTGCACTCGCGTCTAAAAACACACAGGAAACAAACTTTTCCTAGTAACCAATAAAAGTCTAACAATCGTATTCATACGACATCTATATTTCATCCAAACAAATCCATATTGTACCACTGTTAATTTGCATCCATTTTTTCTTTGTTTTCATGATTCATGTATACTTTCTTCTCTATGAAGAAAGAAGATTACTTGTTATTTCTTTCTTCGTCAATCGTCCGATACATTTCTGACGATTATTTCAGTACATAATTTTAACAATGTTAAATTCTTCATAATATTTATCTTGCTTATGATCATAAAATTGTTTTTTGCTTCTTTATTTAGATTTGAGAACAAAATGAGTGACACTGAAGAAACAATGGATACGACAAATGACAAGAATGAGTCAGACAATGTAACACCTACCAAACGAGCAGCAGTTATGAAAAGACAAAAAGAAAAACTTGAAGAAAAAAAAGATGCTGATGAACTTGAAGAAGAACTTGGTGGTGCTGATGATTTACCAGAAGAAGATGAAGAAGATTCTGATCAAGAATATACAACAAAAAAAAAGAAACCAATTAAAAAACCTGAAATAGTTCTTGATCCAGCATTTCAAAGTCGATTGGTAAAGATAAACCCCCCAAAAAAAAAAGAAATTTTTAAATTTATATATTGTTTTTTTTTTTCTAATATAGAATGAAGATCAAGTTAAACGATTTAATTATTTACTTGAGCAAACAGAAATTTTTTCACACTTTGTTCAAGATGGTCAACTTAATAAACATGCCAAAGGTGGTGGTCCAACATCACCTTTAAAAATGAAAACACAAGTTAAAAAACCAATTTTATCAACTGCTACTAGTATTACTAGTACTACTAGTGGAGAGTATGTATTTTTCTATTTTTTGTTAAAAATCAAAATTTTTATTTTTTCGTTAGTCATCGTCATCGTATGACTGAAGAAGAAGAAGATGCTGAATTATTAAGTGATGCAAAGGAATCTGAAAGACTCAATTCAATAACACGATTTGATCAATCACCATGGTGTACGTTTCTAAAAACAAACAATTCATTTGAAAAATAATTTCCTTTTTTCGAAAATCTTTAGATGTCAAAGGGGGTGAAATGCGTGATTATCAAATTCGTGGTCTTAATTGGATGATATCATTATATGAAAATGGTATCAATGGAATTCTTGCCGATGAAATGGTATAACAAATAACATATTTCAGTTATAAGCTAATATAAAAATATTAGATATACATTTTCAAGAAAGAATTATGAGAAATAATCCGTTGATACTATAAAATAACGAATACGAATGCAGAGATATTATAGTAAAAAATCTAATGAGGGAACATTCCCAAGTGATCCACTCCATTTTGACTTATTTACATCTCATTCGAAAAAGTATATTGAGATAAGGAAAAGCCTAAAAGAATTCGTGCCCATGATCTACTGATGAAGAGTTATGACCGTTTTACTGTGAGCCAGGCATTTCGGGAAAAACCAAAATGAAGAATTTCGACCTGAAATTTTACCTATAGATAGATTTAATAGTCATTAGATAGTCCTGAAAGTTTCAACGAAAACGAACATGCCTTTCTCAAGTTATTCAATTT